TATATTATTATATTATTATATTATATTATATTACGAGTCTGAATTTTAAATTATAAAAATTGTAAAGTTTAAATTTGATGAAGGATATTATGAAAGTTTAATTAATTGTAATATGCTGATTTTCGCATAATCTAAAAGTTAAAGTTATTTTTGGGTTACTTCTGAATTTGGCTATAGATTCTTTAAAAATGTTTCAAAAAATATTTTTGAAGAGATTTACTAAACACTAAAATTAATTTTTGCTACAAGTAGAAGCTAATTGTAAAGTTTAAATTTGATGAAGGATATTATGAAAGTTTAATTAATTGTAATATGCTGATTTTCGCATAATCTAAAAGTTAAAGTTATTTTTGGGTTACTTCTGAATTTGGCTATAGATTCTTTAAAAATGTTTCAAAAAATATTTTTGAAGAGATTTACTAAACACTAAAATTAATTTTTGCTACAAGTAGAAGCTAATTTTAGGAGCGAAAAGTAATACCAAACTAAGCCTATATCTTCTCGTCAACACCAATCGCCTTTTGTTTTTGGTAGTGTAATCTGGTAGATTAAAGGTGGTAACTATGAGAACTGTCGTATTATCATATACTGCTAAATGCAAGCTAATAACTACTATTTATCTTCTTCTTTTTTTCTAACTATATGCAGTTTTTTATTTTTTAACCATTAAAAAAACTGTTTTTAATAAGCCGTTCTACTAATAGAACTAATTTTTTTTAGGTTAAATTTAATAAAAAATTAAATAAAAATTAAAAAATATATAAAATAAATAATTTTTTAATATAAATCTCACACTTAAAAATAATTATAAAAAATAAAATTATTAATAATACTATTTTTCTAATCTTATCAATTCCCCTGTTAAAATTATATATTTTGTGACTCCTGTATATTTTTTTTAGTCCGATTCGAACGGCCATAAACCAACCCAATCTGTAGTCTTTAGTTCAGTGTAGAAAAAGAGGCGTGTTAAACTTGAAACTTGAAAAAAGTGGGCGATTATGTCTAAGGCAGAGTCAGAAACCAACCTCAAACCTTCAAGCTCAAGATGGTCTCTCAAGGGAACGACCGCCGTCGTTACGGGTGGCACCCGTGGAATCGGGTAATTTTCTTCCTCTTTCCTGGAAATTTTTTCCCGGAAAGTTATTATGGGTTAAGTTGTTTCCCAATTATCTCATATTATTATTGTCTGTTTCAGGCGCGCCGTGGTGGAGGAACTGGCGGAATTCGGTGCGGCCGTGCACACCTGTTCTCGAAATGAAGAGGAGCTCAAAAGGTGCCTTAAGGAATGGGAAGGCAAAGGATTATTGGTATCTGGGTCGGTTTGTGATGCGTCTTCCAAAACCCAGAGAGAAAAACTCATTCAAGAAGTGGCTTCGGCTTTTAATGGCAAGCTCAACATTATTGTAAGTCAATTAAATTATTCAAAATTTTCTCTTTTTTTGGGTATTTCTTTTATCTTTTTTCTTTTCAGTGAATTGAGACAGATTTTGAAAGTTGTGCAACTTTGAAGATTATGACACAAGTTTTGAGTCATATGACTGAATAGACTTTGAATAGATATTTAGAATGACGAACGAGGAGGCTTTGATGAAGATTATTTGGATTAATTTGGTTGATGCTCATTTGGTTTCTGTAAAAGGCATTATTATTTATCAATGCTCTCTTCAATTGATCCTTTTGTTTTGATTAATGTGGAAGGTTTTTTGTATAGAGAAGCTCTATTGCTCTAAGCATTGTTAGAGTAAAAAGAAGAAAAATCTGTTGTTTCATGTTAATTGCGATTCGGGTAAATTGCGGTTCGTTTGATGATTAGAACACAAAACTTGTTGTCATATATGTATTAAGCGTATTTTCATGTGAAACAAAATTCCCTTAGATATGTGATATAACTTTTAAGTCTTCTCTGTGTAACTTGGACACAATGTATGGTTTTTTCTTTTATAAGTAGAGAGAAAATTTGGGCTTTGTTATGGTTGTAGGACATCTTTTCTGTATTCTGTAAAAGTTGCAATGATATATGTCTTATTTATGTCTCATGTTTTGTCATTGGGAAACCCATGTTTTGTGCCTAGGATCCCTGCCATTAACATGTGATTCTCTTCTCATCTGTGTCTACAAATGCTGAAAAACTTTTGTTTAATAAAATTTAGATTTAAGCGCAGTGAGATTAATTGAGGTTTTCTTTCTCAATATCTTATTACACTTGAGAGTCAGCACCTTGAAAATCTCTTTTTACTCATCGGAACATTGAGTTTGCATAATTTTTGGCCCTAGGTGAACAATGTGGGAACAAACATCAGGAAGCCAACACTTGAGTACACTGCTGAAGAATACACATTACTTCTTTCTACCAACTTCGAGTCTACATACCACTTGTGTCAACTTGCACACCCTCTTCTAAAAGCATCTGGAGGAGGGAGTATCGTGTTCATTTCTTCTGTTGCCGGTTTGCTTAACATATCCTCTGGAAGCATTTACGCCGCAAGCAAAGGTGAGATGCTATTTTGATAAGGTGTCAATCGTCATATTTTGTAAAAGCGTCTGACAAAAAGATTGACTTCGCGTTAATGAGCTGAATCCAATTGTTTTGCTACATTCTCTATTTGTTGTTTTCAGCTGCCATCAATCAGCTCACCAAGAATCTGGCTTGCGAATGGGCAAAAGACAACATCAGAAGCAATTGTGTTGCACCTTGGTATACAAGGACGTCGCTTGTAGAACATGTAATATTCTTTCTTGCTTATAATCCATATGCTTTGTGCTCTCATTTCTTTCAGGCTAATGTTTGGCTGGAGGGTTAGAGCTAGATAACCTGGGGAAATGGAAGGGCAATGAGAAGATCTTTCCTTGTGCATATTTGGTAAAAGAAAAATGTAAAATTCACCTTCTCTAACTCATACAAATTAAGACGGACCACAATTAAGATTCTATGGATAATTATGAATTTCTCGTGCAATGAATTCTCTGCGCTAATCCATCCTACCAAACGACCGTAAGTCTCGAAATCCCTCCGCTAATAGGCAGACCCCAATCTCTCCTTCCACTTCCCTCCTTATGAAACAAGGCCTTAGATAGTTAAGTAGGTGATTCGTTCTTTATCTCAAATTCTTTTACATTGGCAGACAGAATGTGGGATGCCTATGCTATTCAAATCACAAACAGTCGAACTTATTTCCTTCTTATACAGTTACTTGATAACAAGGAGTTCTTGGAAGAGATCATAGATAAAACTCCTCTACACCGTGTTGCGGAGCCCGAGGAAGTTTCATCTTTGGTGACATACCTCTGCCTGCCCGCCGCCTCTTACATCACCGGACAGGTTATTTCCGTAGATGGGGGAATGATTGTGAATGGATTTTATCCCAAAAAGAGACCCTTCTGAGTCCGAGTCTTTGACCATTTCAGGTTAAGAAATTCTCGTAATGGTTTTCTAGGATTCCATGATTTACAAAGCGCATGCTCTATATGTCATTTTTGTGTCCAACTCTTCTTGATCATGGCTTGGCTGGACTCTGAAAACTAATTAAAATAGTGCTTTAAATTTTAAAACATTTCCTTTGTTTTCTTCTTTGTATGTTTCTTAATGCGTTGCATTGTTTTCTTCAAGAAGTGGGAATCATGAATCTTCTCAGAACGTTATGAAAATTGGTGCCTAGTGTTAATTATATTTTGTGTTTTAGGTTAAACTTGATAAAGTATATTATCTATTTTCGACATCATCTAGTATTTCAGAATATAGTTCTTGTGTATCGGACATTTTAAATATGTATCAAATTCATATCTTGGACTTGCACCATTTTCTTTTTTAGCTAAAAGAACGATGAAAATGTCCTCAAAATAAAAACGAAAAGGCTAAAAGATCAAAATTTAAAGCACAAATTTTCCTACAAAAAGAACAAAATTGTTTTTTTTTCCTCTTTTAAGACACTATTGTCGTTTGATCAATTTGTGTGCGAATTTGATAGAACTTAGATCCTTTGTTTAATTTTAGTATCTCAATTTCTATTTAACTTATGTCAAGTCGTATAAAAAATTTAAATTACTGTTTAACTAACTCTTTTGTGTTTATTATGAAATAATATGATATAATTTGATTGGTTAGATACCAATTGAGATACTAAAAATTAGACGAAAAATCTGAATCCATAAAGCAGATTGTATATTTTGTGTGAGAATTTAATAGCTCGTTTGTTTACGCGTTTAAGTTAGTAATTTTGATTATAAATTTAAATTTTGTAAGGAAACTCATTAGTATAATTTTTTTTTATTCAGTTTTTTATGTAAGAAAAGTACTGTAACAGGATTAAAATTATGATTTTAAATGCATGAACCAAATAAGTCGAAGTGCTTATTTAATTTAAGATTCAAATTACTTTGATTTTAATTTAAACAGTATTATTTCTTACAAAAAAAATTTAAATTTAGTTCTGGTTCAAAACAATACGCTCAAACCAGAGCACTAAAATAAAATGAGATAACATGCCACGTGTAGTCTGATCAGTATTAGATTGATGGTAAAAGAAATATCTTTTATTTGTAGGGCCAAGTAGAGATAGAATGTATCTGAAAAAATAAATAAAGATATAAAATGGTGAACTGTGAAGACATTAATGGCGCGTACAGACCGGCTGAGTTATAGGCGAATTCAAACACGCTCTGACTTTTGGATCAGTCACGTGGCAACATATTTCCACGTGTGAGCTTTTCATCGCATCATTATTCGACTCCCCAACCCACCGAGTACCAAATTTTAACTCATTTGTGCTCACCAGACACCAGTCACGAGTCCACAAAGTCGTTTCCTCCAAGAAAAATATTAGTTGAATATTTGTAATTTCTGATTATTTAAATTAGAACTTAACTGTTGCTCCTAATGAAGACACGTGTTACATTTCATATAAGAAAATATAATATAGAGTTAAATTTATCAAAGGTTCTTGAACATTTTTTTCTTTTTATAATTAGTTTATATATTGAAAATTGTACCAATTTAAACCTTAAACTCTTTAAAAAATGGTGAATTTTTTTATTTGATAATAATATTGTCTCTGTTTGTTTCAACAACTTAAACTTAACAATTCAATTCAAATCATAGTTTATAATTTAAATTGATGTTTCATACAGAACTAAATGAGGACAATTCAAACTATTGACAATGTTTTAACCTTTGATTTTTAAATTTTCAACCGCTCAACCGCTCTTTAAATTCTAACAATTCCAATTGTTTTCTAAATTCAGATTTTATTTTTTCTCTCTTCTTAATTTCAAGTTTAAAAATGTCATAATTTTTTTTTCAATTCGGATTAAAATGATTTTTTTTTCAATGTGTTCATAATGAAGAGGAACAAATTATCATCTATATTGTATATTTTTTAATGCCATTTACAATGAGGTTTTATAATATTTGTTATAAAATTTTAATAACAGTTTTTAACACTTTATCTAATTACAATTTTTAATATTTTATCTAAACACAGTTTGAATTTTATTCTCACTTTAGATTACAATTTATTTGTGTATCTAAACACTAATTTGAATCGTAATTCAAATCTCAATATAATTCATATCACCACAATTCAAATTAAATCACACAATTCTAATGGCAAAACAAACAAGACCATTGCTGGTTGTTTACTTCTTGTTCGTTACTTAAAAAAAAAAAAGGTGCAACAACCTTTCATGAATTTAATTCTCTAATATAATTATCATCAGGTGAAAAAAGGGTGAATGATGGCAATGAGTGCTTCTGCTATTTGGTCATGGTTTCAATATTAGTTACATATGGGATGATTAAAATTTTGGATTAATAACAAGGGTTTTTAGTGCTTTTTCTTATTATATTTTCTACAAATTATTTAATCATCTCTTTTTTTAAAGTATTGCAGTTTTTTTCAATAAGCAATAACTTATTAAAAAAATTGGATATATCAGCTGTGTGGAAAAATATGCTTTGACATGTCGGATGACAACCGAGCTCCACGTGGCCTTCACCCACCACGTTAGACAACGGTCGACGTTTTAAACTCATTTCCTCCTCCCTCAATTGTGAAAAGGCCGATCGTATAAGACAATTCATGCAACTGTCGACCCCACATGCAGTGGAGGCCTACATGCTTCGTTCTCCGCATACTGGTACCATGGGACGATCGACCGGGACGGAGACCGCGGCTTGTGAAATATAATATGGACGTCGAGGGCAGGACGCATAAGTTTGAATCCACATCCCAAACCTCTGAGGTGACAGGGGGGGAATCCCTACGTCACTTCTAGGTTCAGAGAAGGTCAGTAGCACAGAGAATGATTACCTGCCCATAAACCACCTAGAACGGACCAATGCAAATCACGGAAGATCCGCAGAGCCGCAATAGTGGACGGAGTGGTTGAGTGAACAATCCAAAAGGTGCAGAGAGGCTACGGTCTAGGCAGGTAGGATAATAGGCTACTTGAGAGAAACCATCAGAGAATCCCCTGTCACAATCTGCCTCATATGTAATCATATGTAATCTGTGAGATATAAAAGGGGCAAGGCCCCAAAGAGAGAGGCAGATTCTATAACATTTGAAGGAAGAAAGAAAGGAAAATACAATAACAAGTTAATGTAGTTCTTTCATTATAGAGTGAACCACTATAACCTCGTGTGTTCTTTTCGTTTAACGACAAATCCATACGTCTTCAAAATACATTGAAGACAAATACAATCAGTTACACTTTTCTGATAATATAACCAGTTTTGGCCGGTAACCCGACTGAGCACCGAGTGGTAATCCGACGTAATCTTGTTGACGAAATTCTACCGTCAACAATTGGCGACTCCACTGGGGAGTGAACCCAGAATCTATGGTTCGTGTGAAGAATCTGAGACGACTAATAAATAACCTATGACCATGCCTCCGAGAAGAGGAATGAGTGGCGCCACGAATCAAGGCAACCAAACGGAGGAGAACACCACGCATCTTGCCAATCCGGCCAACACTGGGAGCAGAGGAGATCAACCTAACCAGGGGAATCAACCCCCAGCGAGGAATGAAGCTCTGACCCTGAGTATGCCATAGCTTGACCCGATACAAATGTAGGCCCAATTGAATGCTCTGACTGACTTAGAGGTGTCAATTGGGCCGGGCCATCCATGGAGGGCTCGGCCCAGCCTGCTACAGTAGCAAATTCGGCACGGCCCGGCCCTGTACTGTTATGGGCCGGGCCGGCACGGCACGCCAGAAGGGCTTGGGCTGGGCCTCATGTTTGAGGCCCGCAGCCCAGGCACGGCCCATGCCCACCCAAGGCCCAGGCACGGCCTAGGCCCGCTAAGGCCAAGGCACAGCCCAGGCACGCCAAGGCCAGGGCACGCGAAGGGCTAGGCACGGCCCAGGCACGCGAAAGGCCAGGCCTGCGACATGAAATTTTAATGAGGTTTGAGGCATTTTAGGGCCAATTGGCCGACCTATGCCGTCTGGTCAACCAGTCATTTTCTTATAATTATTCATATTAATTCAATAAAATCACATATTTTTAGGGCATATGATATATTACTTTTTTTTTGTCATCAAATTTGAAATTAAAAAAAAAATCCTAAAAATATTGCTAATCATAAGTGAAACTCAAGTGCATTAAGAAAATTAGGTTAAGATTGAGTTTAGACATAACAGAATCTTCTAGAAGCACTTAGGTTTTGTAATTTACTTATCCTAAAATATTGCACTCTTTTTCCTATGCTAAGGTTTTGTCCCGATCTCCCCACGAGATTTACTTGATAAGGTTTTTAACAAGTTGATCATTTATGTGTACTTATTTGTATTATCTCAATTCAATAAAATCACATCTTTTGGGGACATATGATATATATTTTTTTAATTAAATATTGAAAAACAAAAATTAAAAGGGCCAGGGCCTGGGCCCAGGCTCGGCCCTGGCCTTTATGGACTAGGGCCAAGGGCCAGTGCTGGGCCTGAGGGTTTCTCCTTAGGCCCGGCCCTGGCACGGCCCTGTACTGTGCAGGGCCGTGCCAGGCACGGCCCAGGCCCGCCATGGGCCTGGGGTTAGAAGGGCCGTGCCGGCCCGGCACGACCCTTTTGACATCTCTAGACCGACTTGGTTCAAGGGCTGGTGACCACCATTGAGCGAATGGACGGAAGAAGCTCCATGCCACCTATCGAGGATGCCCCGAGACCACCGAGCACCATCGTGGCCGGGAACCAGAATGCTGGTGACCAGCCCGATGCCCCGGAAGGCATCGGGGAAAGTGAAAATGCCAGGGGAAACAACCCGAGGCCTCTGTTAGCGTTTATGCCCTTAGGAATAAATGTAACGATGTTCTTTGAGACATTTTGACTATTAATAAAGATTTATTTATTTCATATATCTATGTATTGTCCTCTTTATGTTCATATTAGTTGAATGTATGATAAGCAAACTGAAAGTCTGAGACTGTCATTCTAAATCTTTAGGTCATGCATATAATGTGTAGAACATGCGGAAGAGAAGAATCTAAAGATGATAGTCTAAATCATATGATCCACAATCGAGGGAATAAAGTTGGGCGCTTTATTCATGTTAAGATTGTTATGTTGTCTACTTCCTAACGGCGACGGCTTGTCTTCATCGTCGGAGGTGGGACTCCATGGGTAGAGACATTGATATAGTTTCTAATGGTGAAATCTATATTGGGTCGGACCAAAGTTGAATTGTTTTAATTAATAATTCTGTTTGAATAAAACAATTCACTTTTGACGAATTATATGTTGTCATCTTAATCCTGAGATGGATAATGAACCCGTATGCTTGACTTGTATCTTTTGATGTACCAAAGGGAGACATCCTGACATTATGTAAAGATACGCTTACCGGTACATTGGAGGTATGACTCGTGTATACGTAGATTCATTATTCGTAGATATTGGAATCCATAGCTCTTATAAAGAGTCAATGATACCCTCTTATGCATCATCTGTGGATTGAAAAATACGAGCGCTCGGCCATTAGACTATTATGTGTTATCTAATGGTTTACTATTTGTAATGGTATGAATTGTGGTTTTCTGATGGTGTGATAATGGAACATAAGAGAAATGTAATTGGGAAGGTAAAATAGAACTTGACTTCAAGTCGATTATGGATATCCTATAGGGATGATACACTAATATATTGAGTCATGAGACGGACTTGTTGGTTTACAAGTAGCGTTGTGATTATAGGAGCTTGATTTATATATGTCCATCGGGTCTTTTTGCTCGCTCACATAATTTCCTGTAACAATACGGTGTATTTCCTACATATTGGTAACTTGTATTATTTCTGTAAAAGAGGTTCAAAGTTAATAGGAGATTGGTTAATTAATTCATGAGTGATTTTTCGGGTGAATTGATTGTTAAATTAATTCTAGATAAATTGGTTGAATTATTGTTTTAAGAGTTGTTTAATATGGGAAGACTATTATATGATTGTTTTGATAATGCACTTTCTCTATTGGGTTGCTTGAATTAAAACTGAGGCTCTATGCAAGTTTTCCGTGTTGAAGAACTAGGAAATAACTTTTTCCAGTGCAGACAGGTTGACCCATTCATGAAGATAGGTCGACCGGTTCGTGAAGAACAGGTCGACCAGTGAGTTATAATGTCTCTGTCACCGGTTGTAACGCGTAGCGCGTGCTGACGTGGCAAAATTGACTCTATATGCGAGATAAACTTTAGGAAACCTAATTGTTACGGAAGTATGACTTCCTAAACACTATAAATAGCCTAGTAAGTCACATTATACAAAAGATCACTTGAGTGACTTTTTGGAGGCTATTGACAAAAGATTTCTGAGAGGAAAAACTGTTTAATTCTCAAGAATAATTTTTCCTTTGGCTCTCTTGTGGTTGGAAGGAGTTCAAGAATACTAAGAGGAGATTGAACGATGTGTGCCCACCCGCATTCTGATCGGGGAAACGAGAATAGCAAAGAAGACCAGTTGGTTAAGGCTCTTCCGGTCGCTGTTTGGAACGCTTTGAACAGTCAGACGTGCAGTTTTCTAAATCTCAAAAGGTATGATTTAGATCTTTAGTATTTATGTTATATAGCATCATGAACATGTTTTGGTTGGCTTTGATATTGACTAAATTTTTTAACTTCCGCTGTGCACTCGATGCGATTATTTTCCAACCATTGGTATCAGAGCCATGGTTACTTGTTCATGATTATGCTATGTACAAAGATTTGTGATCGAAAAATATCTCATTTATGCTTGAATTAATATTTTAGAGAGATGGCACTCTAGGGTTTCTATATTTTTTGTTGTCATGAATATATGGTGAATGGATAATTAAATAATTATTATTGATTATTATTTATAAATTATCAATGTTTTTCGATTATTTAATTTTTACCGGTTATGGTTCCTTAAAATTTAGAATGGTTGTATAGGAATTTATTCTTTGCAATGTAATTATATATACTGCCTATCATCGCCGTTAGGGTTTATTTTATTTTCTTTAGTAGAAATTTTGTAAACCGGAAACGGTATAGGAATTTTCATGTAAAATTCTTGGAGGAGATTTATTATGGATCTTGAAGATGGATCTTGAAGATGGATTTTGAAGATGAATCTTGAAGATGAAGGATGTAAAGGTATCTAATTTTTCTTGGTTTATAAAATTATTTTGTGTTTTTGAATAAATTAAAAAACTGCTCAGATTTCTGTTTTTTCATATTTTGGTGACAATTTTTTGAAATTGTCAAAAGTTTAGAAAATACAGAAAATCTGGGTTACTGTCGCATAGACACAGGTCGACCTCTCCGGTCAGCTAGTTAGTGAAAGGCGGTCGATCGGTTGAGTATAATTGCTCTGTCACCTGTCGACCGGACCTAACGTGGCAGTGCACTTTTTTGAGATTTTTTCAAGAAAACATGAAAAATAATTTTATGATAACTAGAATTTGATCATGATAAAGAATTCAAGGACAACCGGGAAGATTCAAGATGAAAGATCGATATATGTTTTGATTATTCTTAGTAATCTTTATTTTTTCTTTTCTCTAGGTTGGAACTATAATAATACGGTTATTATTATTATGCTTGTTGCCTAGCTTAATTGCTTTGTATGATTGCATATAATATGATTTGCTATATATGTGAAGACATGTCATGTAGAATAGGGAGTGCCGCTCATTAAAATTGTTCATACATATTTTTAACATAAAACCTTATTTTCAAAAAGATTGAGTGGGTGAGGGTTTTTGAAGAAAAGACCTATAGCCTCCATCGTTGGTCCGTAGGTAACACATGGTGATACCGACCCCTAGGAAGGGATTCATTATGTACCGGTGTGGATCTTAGAGAGGATAATTTATTTGAACATATTTTATGGTTGTACACCCCTAGGTGACAATTATAAAATATGGATCAAATAGTTGAAACGATGGTTATACGCTCAAGATTAATTTAATTATTAATCTCCTCTATGAGCTATGTTAATTAAATTAATGGCCACAGAAAATGATTATCAATATGTACTGGACAGAGATTGATCCGGATTGTATATATTGATCAGAGGGGATCCGTGTTTCCAATTAAATTTTGCATGATCTCCTTTAGGAGACTTACAAAAATTTTAAGTTGGGAATTATCGTTGTGAGGTTGTGTTTTTTTCAAGGTTTTGACACATAAACATATTGGTTGCATTATAATATGTATATATGTTTGATTACTAAATATTTATGCAAGTTTGCTTATACTAGATATATGAATGTTTATTGTAGATCAAAATGTCTGCTAGCGCATTATCATCGATACTTAATAAACACACTTTAACTGGCGAGAATTTTACCGATTGGAAAAGGAACCTAAAGATCGTCCTAACCTTTAAGAAACTGAATTTCGTACTAAATACACCTTGTCCTCCGGAGCCACCTGTTGATGCTCCTAATGAGGTTTTCCTAGCATATCAACGCTGGAATGACTCTGATGATATGGCTCGCTGTCATATGATGGCGAGCATGTCCACTGTGCTACAAGCACAACATGAAGATTACATAACTGCTCGTCAGATTATGGATAATCTTGAGGACATGTTTGGCGGCTAAGCTGCTGAAAAACGTTGGGAAGCCCTAAGTAACCTCATTAATTGCAGAGAGAAGGCTAGGTCTTCCATAAAGGAACATATGCTGAAGGTGATGGGCTATTTGGCTGACGCTCAGTCTAATGGGGCCGACATTGATACTGAGTCTCAATTGACCATGATCTTTGAGACTTTGTCGAATGAGTATATTCCGTGTAGGGCAACGTTCAATTTGAGCGCTAAACAGAATATAACCTTGACAGAGTTGATGTAAGAACTCCAAAAGTTCGAGCGAATGATCAAGGGGTCAACTATTGTGGAGGCCAACTTGGCTGAGGCATATTCCTCCAAACCCTTTCTAGGGAATGGAAAGAAGAAGCAAGGAGCCAAGAAGGAAAGTTCTTCAGTTCCGCCAAACAAGGGCAAGAACAAGAAGAAGAAGAAGAACCCGAACAAGCTTAAGTGCTTTCATTGCGGGAAGGTGGGGCACATTTAGAAGAATTGCAAGGACTACCTAGCCTCTAAAGGTAAGGGAGGTGAGTGTGATCTTTTGATTATGGAAGTATGTCTGGTTGAAGAATCCAGTGACAACTGGGTCATAGATTCTGGAGCAACTAATCATGTGTGTGTTTCTCTGTAGGGGTTCAAGCAAACGAGAAGTCTTCTAAATGAGAGCTTCATGTTGAGGATGGACGATGGAACTCTAGTGTTGGCTAAAGCAGTGGGAGACGTCCATCTTTATTTTGATAGCTATAGGAGTTTATTTTTGTGAGACTGTTTTTATGTTCCTCAATTTAAGAGGAATCTTATTTCTGTTGCTTATTTATTTAAGGATTCTTATTTAGTTTCTTTTAATAATAAAGTTTTGATTCGTAAAAATAAGTCTTTTATCTGTGATGGATGGATGCAAAATAATCTATATTTTATCAAACCTAAGATAGACTCACTGCTAAACACTGAAGTTATTAATAACTCTAAAAGGCTTAAAACTTCTCACTCTAATGAGACATATCCTTGGCATTTACGACTTGGTCACATTAGCCTTAACAGGATACAAAGGTTGGTAAAGGATGGACCTTTAAGTTCTTTAAAGGTTGGGTCCTTACCCCAATGTGAGTCTTGTTTAGAGGGCAAAATGACCAAAAGACCATTTAGGTTTAAAGGCAATAGGGCTGAAGAGGTTCTTGAACTTGTGCATAGTGATGTTTGTGGTCCCATGAACATCAAGGCAAGAGGAGGGTATGAGTATTACGTCACTTTTATTGACGATTACTTAAGATATGGTTATGTGTTCCTGATGCACCACAAAAGCAAACTTTTGAGAAATTCAGGGAGTTTTGGGCTGAAATGGAAAAGCAATTGGGTAAACCTATAAAGGCACTTTGATCCGATCGAGGTGGAGAATACCTCTCTGATGAGTTCACTAGATACTTATTAGATAATGGGATTCTATTCCATTTGACTGCACTTGGCACTCGACAGCAGAATGGTGTAGCTGAGAGAAGAAATATGACCTTGTTGGACATGGTACGGTCCATGATGAGTTGTTCGACATTGCCTATATATTTCTGGGGATATGCTTTACAAACTGCATGTTATCTTCTGAACAACGTGTCAACAAAGTTGGTTCCTAAAACTCCTATCGAGTTGTGGATGGGCAGGAAGACATCTTTGAACCATATTCGCATATGAGGATGTCCTGCATATGTCCTGGACAAGGAAGCGAACAAGTTGGAAGCAAGTTCAGAAGTGTGCATTTTTGTAGGTTATCCGAGAGGGACGAAAAGGGGTTATTTCTATAACCTCAAGGAAAATAAAGTCGTGGTTTCAACGAATGCAACATTTCTTGAGGAAAGTTACATAAATGACTTTAAGCCTCATAGCAAAGTGGTGCTTGAGGAAATGTTGAGTGAGTTGGTCATACCGACTGTTCCTTTAGAAACCAATTGAATCAGAGTAGAAAATGAAACCCAACAACAACCTAAGGGGCTTCGGCGTAGTGGGAGGATCAGACATGAACCTGAGATATTCATGGCTAGTGGGGATACCTTTTTGGCAGAATCTTCAGAACATTACAGAGATCCTTATACTTACAAAGAAGCTATGGAGGATGTTGATGCAAACCTCTAGACAGAAGCCATGAAAACTAAGATGGAATCTATGGATTTTAATCAAGTCTGGGAACTTGTAGATCTTCCTGATGGGATTAAGCCCATTGGGTGTAAATTAGTCTACAAGAGAAAGAGAAATGCAGAAGGAAAGGTCGAAACCTATAAGGCTAGACTGGTAGCTAAGTGATACACGTAAAAGGAGGGAATCGACTAGATGCTTAAGTCCATCCGTATTCTCTTATCCATTGCGGCTGCTCCCGTCTACGAGATATGGCAAATGGATGTCAATACGGCATTCTTAAACGGTCATCTTGACGAAAGTATCTATATGGTACAACGAGAAGGCTTTGGGGCTAAGGGTCAAGAGGGGAAAGTTTGCAAGTTGCTAAAATCCATTTATGGATTAAAGCAAGCTTCACGTTCTTGGAATAAAAGATTTGATCAAGTGGTCAAGACTTTTGGATTCCAACAGAATATGGATGAACCTTGTGTTTATAAGCATATTCAAGATGGGAAAGTGGTTTTTTTACTAGTATATGTTGATGACATTCTACTCATTGGCAATGATGTAGGGGCTTTGTCATCAGTCAAAGTTTGGCTTACCAACAGTTTGACATTAAGGACTTAGGAGAAGCTAATTATGTTATAGGTATTCAGATCTTAAGAGATCGAAAGAACAAAATGATAACTCTCTCTCTGACTTCATACATAGATAAAATTCTCGAGAAGTATGCAATGCAAAATTCCAAGAAAGGTGGGCAACCATCTAGGTCTGGAATTACTCTTTCAAACAGTGATTGTCCCAAGACATCTGAGGAAAGGGAATACATGGCAAAGGTACCCTATGCTTCAGTGGTTGGGAGCCTCATGTATGCAATGCTTTACACTCGATCGGATATTTTTAATGCAGTCGGGATTGTACGTCCATATCAGTCGAATCCAGGACCTAACCACTGGGTAGTGGTCAAGCATATATTCAAGTATCTTCAGAGGACTAGAAATTATATGCTAGTCTATTCCGGGGAGGATTTGACACCTCTAGTATATACATATTCAGATTTTCAATCCTGCTTAGATTCTAGGAAATTAACTTCGGGTTCTGTCTTTACTCTGGGAGGTGGTTCCGTCGTTTGGAGGAGTGTGAAGCAAACTTGCAATTTTGACTCAATGATGGAAGCCGAGTATGTGGCAGCTAGTGATGCTTCAAAAGAAGCAGTGTGGCTCCGTAAATTTCTGATGGATCTTGAAGTACTTCCTGGTGTGGCTAAGCCATTGAGACTGTACTGTGATAATAGTGTGGCAATAGCTAACACCGAAGAACTAAGATATCAGAAAATGAGTAAGCACATAGATAGGAGGTATCATGTGATAAGGAGCTTTATTCAAGAAGGGCATGTGGAAATATGCAAGATCGCATCGGAAGACAATGTAGCTGACCCGTTCACAAAGGCCCTGCCAACTAAGTCCTTCGAGAAGTATGTCGAGGCTATGGGAATGCGTAGCATGTCACATTTACTCACTTAAGTGCAACTGGGAGATTGTTAGCGTTTATGCTTTTAAGAATGAATGTAACGATGTTCTTTGAGACATTTTGACTATTAATAAAGATATTCATTTCATATATCTATGTATTGTCCTCTTTATGTTCATATTAGTTGAATGTATGATAAGCAAACTGAAAGTCTGAGACTGTCATTCTAAATATTTAGTTCATGCATGTAATGTGTTGAACATGCGGAAGACAAGAATCTAAAGATGATAGTCTAAATCATACGATCCACAATCGAGGGAATAAAGTTAGGCGCTTTATTCATGTTAAGATTGTTATGTTGTCTACTTCCTAATGGCAACGGCTTGTGTTTGTCGTCGGGGGTGGGACTTCATGGGTAGAGACATTGATATAGTTTCTAGTGGTGAAATCTATATTGGGTCGGACCAAAGTTGAATTGTTTTAATTAATAATTCTATTTGAATAAAACAATTCACTTTTGACGAATTATATGTTGTCATCTTAATCCTGATATAGATAATGAACCCGTATGCTTGACTTGTATCGTTTTATGTACCAAAGGGAGACATCCTGACATTATGTAAAGGTACGCTTACCGGTACATTGGAGGTATGACTCGTGTAGGCGTAGATTCGTTATTCATAGATATTGGAATCCATAGCTCCTACAAAGAGTCAATGATATCCTCTTATGCATTATCTGCAGATTGGAAAATACGAGTGCTCAGCCATTAGACTACTCCGTGTTATCCAATGGTTTACTATTTGTAATGGTATGAATAGTGATTTTCTGATGGTGTGATAATGTAACATAAGATAAATGTAATCGGGAAGGTAAAATGGAACTTGACCTCAAGTTGATTATGGATATCCTATGAGGATGATACACTAATATATTGAGTCATGGACGAGAGCTATTCAGAGCTTTGTAAATAGGGTATATAAATCGAGAGTGCAGCTCTAGGCTTTTAGTGGAGTAGCGCTAGAGTTTTATAATCATAAGACGGACTTGTTGGTTTACAAGTAGTGTTGTGATTATAGGAGCTTGATTTATATATGTCCATCAAGTCCCTTCGCTAGCTCACATAATTTCCTATAACGATACGGTGTATTTCTTATATATTGGTAACTTATGTTATTTTCGTAAAAGAGATTCAAAGTTAATAGGAGATTGGTTAATTAATTCATGAGTGATTTATCAGGTGAATTAATTGTTAAATTAATTCTAGATAAATTGGTTGAATTATTATTTTAAGAGTTGTTTAATATGGGAAGACTACTATATGACTGTTTTGATCATGCACTTTCTCTATTGGATTGCTTGAATCAAAACTGAGGCTCTGTGCAAGTTTCCCGTGTTAAAGAACTAAGAAAACAACTTTTGCCAGTGCAGACAGGTCGACCGGTTCATGAAAACAGGTCGATCGGTTCATGAAGAACAGGTCGACCGGTGAGTTATAACGTCTTTGTCACCGGTCGACCGGTTGTAATGCGTAGTGCGTGTTGACGTGGTAAAACCGACTATGTATGTGAGATAAACTTTGGAAAAACTAATTGTTAAGGAAGTATTCTCATTCCGATCGTGGAAATGAGAATAGCAAAGAAGACCAGTTGGTTGAGGCTCTTTCGGTCGTCATTTGGAACGCTTTGAATA